AAATGCATCTAGCTTTAACATTGTTAATAGCTTGTTGAACTGCCGTAGGGTCGTTTTTTTCCTTTGATCTAAGCTCTTCCATTGTTTGTTCTTGTATAACTTGATTTGATTTTCCCAATGACCCTACATCAAACCCAAAATCTTGAGTTAATCCCATTGAAAACGATGGTAAAATGTCAACAACATTGATATGCAAAGGAATACCTCTGGTAATCCTCAAAGATGAAGATGATTCATTCATTGTGTGACCAATTTTAGATCTATCAGGAACAAAAAATCGATTATTTCATCAAAATATATGGAAAAAAATAAACAGAATACATATACAAATTTTGAATAAGTAAAAAAAGAAGAAGAGGTAAACAACTAAAATTAAAGAGTACTTACGAAATTGACTTCAACTTCGGGAGGGAACTTCAACTTCGGGAGGGAATAATCTAATTTTGGACAACAATTTGAATTTCAAACTGGATAGCTGGAGTATTAAATGTAAGAGAAAATTTTGGAATGTGAAAAGGAGAGAGAAAATTGTTTTGTGTATAATTATATACAAAATTAGAAAATAACGTTTTTATACCATTGGTTATATAATAGGTTGTGGACCCCATTAAATATAGCAAACAAAAATAAACTATAATTATATAAGGTAAATAAATTAAACTATACCCCTATAATATAATTAGCTATGAATGTTTGCCATCCCATGTAATTTTCCCTATATTAAATTATCTTTTTCAATCTTAATTTTTTTTTGTGAAAATATTAATTTGGGTATGCACTTAATTGTATATTCAATAGTTTTAAAAATAAAAATAGTTGATAATTTTATTGTTTTTATTATTAAGATGAATATATAATTTAAATGAATCTCAATCATAAATAACTAAATAATATACATGACATGAATCTATAAAGTCATTAATCATTACTTGATTTAATTATACTTGATCGAATCTTTATCGGTCTTTTATTGAGTAAAAAAATAACTTATTAAAATAAGTAAATGACAAAAATATCTCTTTAAATCCTTTTTAAAAATTATTTTCATATTTTTTTATAAGCAAATAACATATTCTTAAAATTTATGCAAACGCATGTTGTTTTGAATGAAATAAATCAAATACTCGAGAGTCAAGTAAAAATAATGTCTAACATGACATATAACAACATAACTTATAGCCAAATCAAATAACTGTATTTATAGACCAATTAGAACAAAGCGATTATTCAAAACAAAAAGAAAATAAGAAAGAAAGGATCCGACCTAGCGAAATACTTGTGTGTGTTGTTTTGCTTCCGTCCTCCCCCTTCTCTAACAATGAGTTGTGAGAAGAGTTCAACAGAAACCCTCGACGAACAGAAATCTAGCAAAGATCATAAAGCCAACTCTTTCTTTGATGTTTACGGCCCTCAGGTCCTTTACTCTATTGCTTTTTTCATCTTCTCTTGTTTATTTACAAAAAAATGGAGTACAAAGGTTCTACTATTGTATCATGAATGTGGTTTCGTTTTTCTTATAGTATGAGTTATAAATTGAATTGGGTCTCTCTAAAATGTTAAAATAGCTATACCATTTTTTTGTTGCGTGTTTGTTAAAGAGTGAAAAGGGTAAATATAGTGAAGGGAGAATTTCTTTTTGGAGCGTGTGGGTTGAGTTAAATTTAATTGGATTGTTTGGCTGGATTTTTCATTGGTAAACCTTGAAGAAAGAGGAGATTTTGCTAATGAAAATTTTAGTTCTTGGAGAGGACATATGGAGTTTTAATTGGTAAACTTGAAGAAAGAGGTTTTTTTTCTAATGAAAATGTAGTACTATGAGAACATGTGGTTTTAACTGCGGGTTCGATGGAAATTGATTATACATGCATTAATTTTGATAAGTAACTAGTCCTGATAGAAACTTAAAATGTAGAGAAGAGATGAGATTAAAAAAGAGGAAAAGAGAGAATCTTTTTTTAATTGATAAAAGGATTATATTTCGTGATTTGCAGATTGAGTTCATTCAAGTGGGTTATATTGTCTAGAGTCTTAAACTTTTTAACTTGGAGAAGAAGAATGTTTCTGGGAAAATTAAGATTTGTATTATTGAAAATTTGGAACGCCGTGGTGACTGGTGACATACTATTCCTGCTGTCAGCATCATTTTCCATTTGGTGGTTGCTAGTTATTTTCTCTTCTGTTTTGTTCTGGAGATGATGGTTATGTTGTTAATTTTTGCAGAATAATTGTGTTCGATTCATTATGATATGTCATTATGCAAGACAAACTATTTAGCATGTTAGTTGAACCTTTTATAATGTCTGTAATTTGTTATTCAAGTTTTGATTGTGGTGCAGGCGAAAGCAGATATTGTTTTTAACAAACCAGAAGCCAACTCAACCTTGAATCTTCAAGTATGTTTGTAACATACTGATTGAGGTTATTTATACTTATTTTACAAGAGCTTAGAACGTGATTGATCATGCTTAATGTGATAACACAGGACGTGCAAGGGCTTGTCACCTGGGTGCTTGCTGATGGGTTCATGCCATCGTGGGCTTTTATCAAAGTAATGTGTTTCATTCCTTTCTTTGCATGTTTTCCACTTGTGTCTTTATATCTGTATCAGATGCACAAACACCTCAGTTTTTTGGAATACACCAAGGAAAATCTGGTGAGGAGAGATTGAGCTGTCCTTACCTTGAGATTTAGCATTCAATCTGGTCCATTTCAACGAATCATTGCTTACTAGATTTTTTATATATTTGATACAGATGTATAAATAACCAAGCCAGCAATGATTCTTTGCTAAGTGATTTTGATTATACTGAAAATGGATATTTCAATTGCAAATAGAGGTAGATTTTGCTAGTAAGGAACATTATGGAATTAGACACGCCTAATTGAAGTAGGTGTGTACATGGTTATATATAAAAAATGGAGTATCTGATATTGTGAAATTTCATACCGTTAGATTCACTTTCTGACCCACCCGTCTGAACAGAATCAAATCCTGTCTCCTTTCTTGTCTCTTTTTAACACGTGTGGAATGAAGAAATCAAAGATTGCTCAAATAGCGAGAACAATGTAAAAAACATCAAAGATCATATTTTTATATGTTCTTTTGGTGTGAGGAAAGAATACCATTTTGTTTAAATAGATGGACAAATATGAATGACTCAGTTAAGTCACATTGACAACTTGAAAATATCTTCTAACATGGACTTGGTGTTTTCTTTATAGAAGTTATTGATCTATCAAAAAGGGAGAAAAGAAAAATAAAATCATTTTTGGACCCATTTCTCATCTTGTGTGTTCACTTGCCAGTTTGTATAACAAAAAATACTTAAGGGCATGTTTGGAAAACCGTTCGGGTAATTGGATTTGGTGTAATTACACTGTCCTGTTTGGTTGGCCATGTAATTGCCTGGTCAGCAATTAATTGGGTGTAGTTGGCAGGGTGCAATTACACTCTCCAATTCATAGGGTTATTACACTTTCCAAAGGAGCTGTGAATTGCCAGTAATTACTTGGTGTCATTATAAGTTGATTACTTTTTAGTTTCTTCCTTTTATTTCTATTTTATTTTTTCTGTTTTAATGTATCTTTTGTTTTAATAATTTTTATTATTCTAATATTTTCTAAAAATGTATTTTTCATATTCTTTATATTTCATTTCCTTCTTATTCTCAAGCTTTACTTCATGTGATATCATGCAATTTTTCGTATTATCCAAAAAATCATTAGTATAATTTTGTCAGTATTCTAAGTTTTAAATTAAAGTAGAATTCGTTGTTGAATAAAGTTATGGACTTGCGTTTTCCTTTTCTTTTAAATCATATTTATGTATGTTATGTTGAAATTTGACATAAGATTTATGTTAATTTTTTTGGTTTGAATTTAGAACTTGTGTTATATTTTCAATTTCATTTGTTTTAGGAGTATTAACTCGATGCTAAGCTATTTTTTTAATGTTAAACTTGATAGATTTTCTTTTTGTGAAATGTTTTGTAATTTTATGACATTATATTTATAATATTAATTGTTTTGTGAAGCATGCATTTCATGATGTTCATAGAAATTATGTACTTCTTGTTTTTATGATTAAATTAATCAAAAATATAAATTGAAAATTATAAATCATTATTTTTTATAATATTAGTTAAGAACATATGTTTATTAATTAATTTATTTTCAAAAGACAACGTGTGTATTAAATTTAATATCATTTATAATGCCCTTATTTGTCTAATATAAATTTTTTATTTTGAATAATTATTTTTTATTCTCAAAATTCAGTATAACCTTACGATTACTCTTGTGCAACAAACAATACATTTGTACACTGGCAAACAAATAGGCCAACGTAATTACTAGGTTGTGTAATTACTCGGCTGGTAATTACTAGGGTAGTAATTACACCAATTCCAATTACCTGGTGGCTTTCCAAACAGACCCTAAATGAATTCACAAAGGTACATCTGTATACTTCCCTTCTTTTTGTAATGTGCACTCCTAGACCCAGTTTTACACTCCAATCATAATAAATGTGGTTCCTAGTAATTTATGTTTTTTTTTAATTAGTATGTCAGTGTCTGATGAACTTGCAGATCCTACCAGCAACACATGTAGCTGGCTAGCTGCATTATCTTATATGTCATGCACATCATTAGGAGAATGACTGCCGTTGTAAATACTGTTGAACTTTTTTGTGGACTACGTCTGCTCTTTAGTTATTTAGTAAGTTCTTGTACAGGAGCAGACCCCTTCTTATGCTGTTATGTTTTGCCTTGCATCTTCTTGATGCACTAGTGAAATTTCCTTACATAAAAATAATAATATAAATGAGAATGAGTTTGTTGCAAAATTTTTATTACTCAAGCTCTCTTTGAAACATTATCCAATGAATTTTTGATAATACTTGGGAAATGGTCATGGTTTTATTTGCTATTGTCTCTTAAGTCATTAGCTATTCTAGGTGTTATATATCTTGAATTATTGATATACTTCACATTTGTCATTTGATGCACAGGGAGATAGAATTTAGTTAATGTGGATATGTTTGGTTGCCTTTGGATGGTCCCCATCAATTTTCCAGTGAATAGTATCTTCTTTAGAGGCTAAACAGAGTTTCATCTGTTTCTCTTTCTTTTTGCTTGCAGAATAAGCCTTTGATCCCTAAAGTGGTAATGCTCTATGTCCCTGGCCTTGATGCATCTCTATATCTATCACAGTCTAAAGTGCTCAAAAGTTTCAAAGAATGCTGTGGTGTTCCAAAGCCAGTTTTAGCTCTCAGGTTGGTAATAGTTTGAACTTTGAATAATCAATATATTGCGCTTGCGCTAATTGTTTCAATATT